AAGGACATGGAAATTGCCTGGAATCAATTCTTTGTGGCAGGCGTTCACTTTCCCACCAGATATGCTCCGCTGACGTTAGTTCAAAGAAATTGTGGCAGTTTGCTGACGTTAGTTCAATGAAAATTGTCAGGGGTTTTTGTCTCAGATTTGTGCATCGAAAAAGAGGATGGATTGCGGTTTATGTGATTTTTGCTCTCTAGATATTAGAGTTTTCTTAAATCTTAGATGAGTTATTTTTTATTTTTTTTGTTTTTATTTTTATTATTATTATTATTATTATTATTTTATAAACGATAGTATCTACATTAAGGCTTGGAGAGTAGGCTAAGTCTCACACTGGATAACTTATTATGTGGTTCAACTCCGCCTTTAACGAAAATCAAACATAACACATCTCACTTATAAGAGGAGATGAATACTAATAGACCATAATACTAAATGGCACATTAGATGAGTTATTATTACTTCTTATTCTCTACAATGTTTATTTTTTAGAGCGATTTCAACTACATGGTTAGCATTATGATTTGTTTTTGTGTCAAAACGGGTTTCTCCACAACTTCACAATGTTTGGCTAGCATTATGATTTTACTTGTTAATGGATGTTTGGAAGATGCATAATAAAGTAAAGTTTGAAAGTAGGCCTCCTTATTTTTTATGCTTATGTTGTTCTACTTTGCCTGGATTAGGTAGGTTGGAGTGTTCACTCATGGTCATGTACGTCATATTTTGGGTAAGCAATTTTTGGTCTCTCTTAGAATCTTGGGTCCTGTAAAGCTTCTTTTATAGTTCATGTTCTTTGGCATGCCCCTCCATTTCCATAGGTCAAAGTGAATAAGGATGACATTGCTAAAGGTAACCCAGATCTTGCGGCTTTTATATGGTGGGGTTTTCCGAGATTCTGCAGGTTATTTTCTTGGTGGTTTCTCCCTGAGTTTGGGCCATCGTACTTCTTTCTGTACAGAGCTTTATGCTATCATCCTTGCTACGGAGTTGGCTCATGCGCGGGGTTGGCTCATGGCTATTCTAATGTGATATCTTGCTTTGCTTCTAGTTCTTTTTCTCCTTCTTGGTCGCTCCGGACTCGTTGGAAAAACTATATTTCTACGTTACAACACATGGTTTACTGTTGCTCCCATACATTTCGAGAAAAGAAGGCATTTGTTGACATATTGGCCACTTTAGAGCTTCTTTCATCTTCACTTGTTTGGCATGTTGCTCCTCTTATGAAGATTCTTCTTTTTTCTACATTCAAATTTCTTGAGCATGCCGGCTTACATGTTTATCTCCCCTTTTTTATGTGTGATTTTCTTTTTTACCTAATTCTTTTGGATTTTACCTTTTGTTTTGCAGTTTATCATCCAAGTTCTTACCTTGTAGCTTTTATTTTAGAGGGGTTTGGTCATAGATCTCCCTTCCTTTTATTATATGTTCTTTTTATCAGGAATAAGATTTATGCTTCCTCTCTTTTCTTGCATTTTCTTTTCAAGAAGGTAATGTTTATTCCCTCCTCTTTTTTTGTATTTCGGTTTTCTTGCTTTATGAGGGGTAAGGTTTATGTCTACCTAATTAGGTGTAATTTTTTTTCAAATCAATAAAATTTCGTCGTACCGTCGAGATTTTCCAAAAAAAAATTGAAAAATGAAAACTTGTATGGTATAAAAATTGAAAATAAAAAACTAAAAGCTACTTTTTTTTAGTTTCATAATTTGGCTTGATTTTGATTTTCATGCATCGTATATTTGAAACTGAAGGCAATTACTAAACAAGCTTTTAGTTAAAAAAAAAACAAAAAAAATAAAATTAAAAACTAGAATGGTTATCAAATGAGCATTTCATTAAATTTATCGATTTCAACAAAAAGGGCATGTAAGTGACAATATATGAGATCATTAATTTTTTAGTAGAGTTTGGTGACTCTTAGAGCAGTTCCACGGTAGGAAAGGTCCCCTAGGCAATACACTATGCTATCCATCTAGTGAACAGTAACTGTCATTAATGAACAGTAATCGCCTTTTGCATCTCCACCATTACACTTCAATAACCCTGGCAATAGGTAATAAAATATTAATATTTATTTTATTCATAAAATAATACCAAGATAATTAAAAAAAGACAAAGAAAAGCAGCATCTCTCTCTGTTGAAACGAACACAAAGTAATCGACAAACAGCGGAAGCCACCGCCTGTGGCTCCTCTTCTTCTTCACCTTCTTCACCATCGCATTCACCCTCACTCTCATCAGCACCACCATTCACCAAACCCTCCCCACCTCCTCCCTCACCCCCACACCCGTACTCCCCCTCCCACTCGCCGTCAGCACCCCACATGTCCCCGCCGGAACTCACCTCCATATCCTTCGACCTCACCCACCTCTGCGCACCCAACTGCAATTTCCTCGTTTTCGGCCTCACCGATCCAGAACCTAACAGAAAAAAAAATTAAAAAAGGCGTCTGACATCAGACCACTTCAGGCTCTCGGGCTGGCACGAATCCACCGACCTGGCGCTCGAGCCTGCTCGGGCTCCCTCGCCAGCCAATGTTGGACTTCCTCCCTCGGGCAATCAGGCCTTGTGCTGAAGGCTGTCCATCAGGCAAAAGTTCCCGCTGGAGCTGCTCTTAAGGCCTAAACCTTGGTTTGGTGACTATTAAAGTGTTCTAAAAATCGGTCTAGGCGGCCGCCTAGGCGCTGGGCGGTGGCCAACCACCGGGATTAACTCTTAATCGGGAGAAAAATTAGGGAAGGAATTAGGCGGGCGCCGAGGCGGCTTGGGCGTCCTAGGAGGCCGACTGGTTGGCCTAGGCGGTCTGGAATTTCAATTTTTTTCTGTTTTCAAACTTGAGAAAGGATGAGTGCAACATGTTCTGGAATTTCTAAGTTTTGCAGGTTTCAGTTCTTGCGAAGAAGAAAGGAGGAAGAAGATGAGAAAATGAGTTTCTCTCTCATCCTTTCATTCTCACGTGACCACCCTCAAACTTTCCCATTTAATTTATTTTTTAATTTCGTCCAATCACGATTGGACAGCTAGCATTAAGTTTACCTTTCCATAAAAGAAAAATGGGCTGTCAATGCTCAAAATCAAGATACTATTTGATTGTTTAAAATTTTACATTTAAAGGAAAGAATAAAAAAGAATAAAAGATGGTCTCCTTTGTCTATGAGTCTATTGCTGATGTGAGTGATGGGAACGAGGGGAGTGGTCACACCACACACGTTGTGGTTGAAATGGGGAAGGATGCTTTTTTGACCGATTTTGGTGTTCCAAAGTTCAAAGTGGGACACCAACTCAGATAAAATCATAAATAGAAGAGAGAGGATTTCATTGGCAATAGATGTGCGTGGTTTGGTTAGGGGATGCTTAGCATGGCTTCCTAATAGTTTTATTATGAACCATTCAACCTATTACGTGGGATTTTTACTTTTATTTTTAAAAACTTAGATATAGTCATTCAAAATGTCTTAAATTATATGGCATATATGCTTAATGTATTTCTAAATTTTAGATTTGTTAAATATTCTTTTTGTATTTTATTATTCTTTTATTATCTTATCTATTGATTTTATACAAGTATAATGTTTAATGTGTCAATATGCATTTATTTACAAGATATACAAGAAATTTACCTAAATCTGCCTAGGCCGCCTAGGCGCCCGCCTAGATCCCACCTACCCATCTAGGTGCTAGACTCCAGCCCGCCTCAGCGCTTAGCGGTTTTTAGAATCTTGCTCTTAAGTAGAGTTTGATAAACATTTTAGTAATTATATTTAGTTTTCAGGCTTTGCTTGGTAATGTTTATCTGATTTTTAATAATACCAAAATATGAAAATTAAAAATCAAAATCAAATAAAGGCATTTGCCTTAACCATTTTATTTATATTCGCAAGGCAGAAGAACTCATGGTTAAACATTCATATAATGACCAAATTATTCATTTAATTATAGGTTAAGAAATAAAAAATAAAAAAAGTTATGGACAAGATGGTAAAAATGTGCAAATGAGCTATAGAGAGAGAAACGTGAGGGGAGTGTGTGACGGGAACATAACCAGTACATCAAGTGTTATAATAAAATTGGTTGAAAGTTTAGAATTTTTTTTAATTAATTGTTTAGGCCACTTGGTTTAATTAAAAAGAGTTTTAATAAAACATTCTCGGTACTGTTTACTTTTCACAAAAAATAACATTTTTACCTTTTCTAATACTATTCACTTACACATTTATTTGTCATTTTTTATTAAAACCAAAGTTTTTGAGAATTTTTAGTTAATTTTTCTTTAATTAAGGGAGTTAGTTTTCCTTGTCATTTTTTATTGTTGTTTTCCACAACCTTAACCAAAGTTCTAGACTGGCGGCCGCCAACCCTCGTTTAATTACATGCTTTTCCTGGTCATTTTTTATTAGCGTCTCCCACAGCCTTAACCAAAGTTCTTGACTGGCGGCCACCTCATTTGCGTCTTACTGATTGGCAGTGTCCTACTGTTTTCTTTTGTTTGGGGAACAATTTTTTATTTTTTATTTTTTTATCTCAAATAATTGAGACCTTTAACATTATTGGTTTAATCTCTCATAAGAATAGGAATAGTTTATTAACATAAGGAAAAAGTTTGGTACTTGGGATTAAATTCTATAGTTAAATTATGTTTTTTTTTATACAAACGATATTTTAGGAGAAAGATTTGAACACAAGTCTTAAATTTGTGAGTTATTCAATCTGTTTTTGGGCATCAAATATGGCCTAAATGACCAAGTTTGTTCTAATTATGAGGCGGGCATCAACGAATTGGCAAAGACTAGATAATTTATCCATGTTTCAGGTTTCTCGGGTTCCATAAATTACTGTGTATTGACGTGTAAATAAAAATAGCAATTTCAGTAGGTAAAGTGATAACTTCAATAGTATAACTAAAACATCAAGAAGGCATCGATCCCAAACACAAAACCTAAAAGGGCAATAAAATCAACACGTCTCAAGAATCAAAACTAAAGCGAACAAAAACAACTAAATAACTAAGGAGTTTAGGATAAAAATTGTGAACGTAATATTAAATACTACAGAAAGTCGATGGTTTGAATTGAGAACTAAATATCTAAAACGGTTAATAGAAAATGGTGAACGTTGAAAAGAAATAAACCAGTTAACTTGCTAATAGCAAGTAAATGTCTGGTTGGCTCTCTATCCTCTCTATCCTTTCTCTTTCTGATTTAGTAAATGTCTGGATTCTACGGTCAGCATTCCAGACCGTTTCGCCATGACGCACTACAATGATCTCCGCGTAATCCAAGTCAACACGGCTGCATTGAATCCACAAGATTGAAAAACGATTGAATTTAAAGCTTCATTTTTTTTTAAATTTATTGACGAAGTATGCGATTGGAAGGAAACGGAGGATTGAGGTACAAGGAGAATGAGAGGGACCTGGAATCGGCCTCCGCCATGGATGAATCGGGAACTGACGACGCCGCCGTACCGACGCTGAGCTGTGAGCTCCGTGAGGCGCTAAGGGTTGAGTGAAAGTGAGAGGAGGGTTAAGAGTGCGCATTGCAATAATTGTTAATTAAATAGAAGAAGAATCCGATTGTCTGTGAAAGGACATGGAAATTGCCTGGAATCAATTCTTTGTGGCGGGCGTTCACTTTCCCACCAGATATGCTCCGCTGACGTTAGTTCAAAGAAAATTGTGACAGTTTGCTGACGTTAGTTCAATGAAAATTGTCAGTGGTTTTTGTCTCGGATTTGTGCATCGAAAAAGAGGATGGATTGCGGTTTATGTGATTTTTGCTCCCTAGATATTAGAGTTCTCTTAAATCTTAGATGAGTTATTTTTTATTTTTTTTTGTTTTTATTTTATTATTATTATTATTATTATTATTTTATAAACGATAGTATCTACATTAAGGTTGGAGGGTAGGCTAAGTCTCACACTGGGTAACGTATTATGTGGTTCAACTCCGCTTTTAGCGAAAATGAAACATAACACATCTCACTTATAAGTGAAGAGGAATACTAACAGACCATAATACCAAATGGCACATTAGATGAGTTATTATTACTTCTAATTCTCTACAGTTTTTTGGAGCGATTTCAACTACATGGTTATTTATACTTTTCTTGTTACAAACAATCTTCTATATGGCCCGGCATTAATCTATTGTTCATATCTTGTTTTAGAATTATCGCTGAGCAATTGGTATGGTTCTAGTACTTCTCTTTTGATTGATAAGTGGTTGGTTATGCCTATTATGGACGCTGTTGCTGCTACTGAGCTTGCTCCTTCTCTATTTCAGACAAAAGTCTCAGACATTATGATATGGGAAAATCGGTTATTCCTTCTTCTTTTTTTCTTCTACTTTTCCAGAGTTAGATAAAGAGATTTTAGAGATGCCTCTTATAATTGATGAGGAAAAGGATTGTTAATCTAGGACGCACATTTGGAGATTTTTCATTTTCTGATTGCTATGAAACTGTACCTCGTCAGTTTCCTATTAAAAGTTAGTCTTCCATTATTTGGCATCCTTTCATTCTAGTTTGCTACTTTATTTTAGTTTGGTTGATTCTTTTTAATAAGCTACCAAAAGAGGATCAACATCGAGTACGGGACATTCCTCTATTTCCAATTTTTTAGTTGTGAATTTGCACAACATGCTTAGTGTTAGAACTAAATTCGCGCACTACCTTGAGGGGTGGGGATGCACAAACTCGATTACCTATAAAATAACAAATAACCGTAAGTAACCTAAGGATCGGTAGGGTACTGGTCAAAGACTCTTCGACGGTCAAGTTAGTAAGCAATATTTGAGACTCAAGCAGTATGCAAGATAATAAGTGTACAATAATTGTGTTACCAGAGATGAACCCTAAAAATGTGTATTTATACTAATTGAGATAGAGTTATTTTAGGATATATAATTTGTATTAAACCAGGAGAATCCCACAAGATATCTAGGAGTAGATATTGAATCCTCTTAGTGGTATGACTACTTGCGGTGCACACCAAATCCTTAGATTGTAGGAATCTTCTAGATTTTAGGAAACCTGGGTGATTCTATAGCATATCAAATTTATGTATCTTGCTGAACAAGCATGGTCAATCTTATTAAAGTCAATAGACTTTGCCCCCTACTTCGAGCAAGATGACAATGGAATCGCTGGTCCGTCTATGCAGCTCCGTGATGGAAGCTGTTAAGTCCATGACCGAATTTCTAAGATATTCGTATTCTGATTTGTCTTACTCCATCTCTAGAAAATCATGGTCCCACACTTAGTTATGCTTAATGTGTTTCTAAATTTTAGACTTGTTAGATATTCTTTTTGTATTTTATTATTCTTTTATTATCTTATGTATGGATTCTATACAAGTATAATTTTTTATGTGTCAATATGTATTTATTTACAAGATATACAAGAAATTTACCTAAATCTGCCTAGGCCGCTTAGGCGCCCATCTAGATCCCACCTACCCGCCTAGGCGCTAGGCGCTAGCCCGCCGCCCGACTAGTTCCTAGCGTTTTTTAAAACCTTGCTCTTAAGTAGAGTTTGATAAACATTTTAGTAATTATATTTAGTTTTCAAGCTTTGCTTGGTAATGTTTATCTGGTTTTTAATAATACCAAAATATGACAATTAAAAATCAAAATCAAATAAAGGCATTTGCCTTAACCATTTTATTTATATTCGCAAGGCAGAAGAACTCATGGTTAAACATTTATATAATGACCAAATTATTCATTTAATTATAGGTTAAGAAATAAAAAATAAAAAAAGTTAAGGACAAGATGGTAAAAATGTGCAAATGAGCTATAGAGAGAGAAACGTGAGGGGAGTGTGTAACGGGAACATAGCCAGTACATCAAGTGTTATAATAAAATTGGTTGAAAGTTTAGAATTTTTTTTTAATTAATTGTTTAGGCCACTTGGTTTAATTAAAAAGAGTTTTAACAAAACATTCTCGGTACTGTTTACTTTTCACAAAAAATAATATTTTTACCTTTCCTGATACTATTCACTTACCCATTTATTTGTCATTTTTTTATTAAAACTAAAGTTTTTGAGAATTTTTAGTTAATTTTTCTTTAATTAAGGGAGTTAGTTTTCCTTGTCATTTTTTATTATTGTTTTCCACAACCTTTAACCAGAGTTCTAGACTGGCGGCCACCAACCCTCGTTTAATTACATTCTTTTCCTGGTCATTATTTACTAGCGTCTCCCACAGCCTTAACCAAAGTTCTTGACTGGCGGCCACCGAATTTGCGTCTTACTGATTGGCAGTGCCCTACTGTTTTCTTTTGTTTGGGGAACAATTTTTTATTTTTTTTATCTCAAATAATTGAGACCTTTAACATTATTGGTTTAATCTCTCATAAGAATAGGAATAGTTTATTAACATAAGGAAAAAGTTTGGTACTTGGGATTAAATTCTATAGTTAAACTACGTTTTTTTTTTTTACAAACGATATTTTGGGAGAAAGATTTGAACACAAGTTTTAAATTTGTGAGTTATTCAATCTGTTTTTGGGCACCAAATTTGGCCTAAATGACCAAGTTTGTTCTATTTATGAGGCGGGCATCAATGAATTGGCAAAGACTAGAGGATGTATCCGTGTTTCAGGATTCTTGGGTTCCATAAATTACTGTGCATTGACGTGTAAATAAAAAATAGCAATTTCAGTAGGTCAATAAAATCAACATGTCTCAAGAATCAAAACTAAAGCGAACAAAAACAACTAAATAACTAAGGAGTTTAGGTTAAAAATTGTGAACGTAATACTAAATACTACAGAAAGTCGATGGTTTGAATTGAGAACTAAATATCTAAAACGGTTATAAGAAAATGGTGAACGTTGAAAAGAAATAAACCAGTGAACTTGCTAATGGCAAGTAAATGTCTGGTTGGCTCTCTATCCTCTCTATCCTTTCTCTTTCTGCTTCTCTTTCGCCATTTTTCACAGTGCCTCTTCCTCTCTCCATCCGATTACCAACTTCGAAGGAAACAGAGAGATGCCGCAAGGGATAGAGAGATGGAGAAATACATGAAGAAATCAAGAATTTCAGGCCACGTGGCTGTGATGGAGGTTTCTATTTCGCCACCGTTAAGAAAAACAGTCGGCAAAAAACACTACATTTTTGTATCACATCCAGGTATTATATATTGATAAATTATTGGATGTAACAAATAATGTATACATGCAACAACAATTAACAAACGTCTATTTTTTCTTTAAAAAAGATAAATAAGGGACCAAGCAAAACAGCTTACCTCCTACAATTTTTTTCTCAGCCTGACAATTTAATTGAAACAAAAAAAAAAAAAAAAAAAAAGCCCTAGCATCTAGTGCTACGTAGTATTAAAGTTGAACTTCCCAAAATTGATGCATCAATAGTAACATATTGTGCTCGAGTTGAGCCTTGTTAGAGCATCCCCTAGGAGCTTTATTCTATGTAAGGCTATTACATTTCATGCTTTTGTGATAAGTTTCATTCCCAATGAACTGGAAAATAAGGTTAGATCTACTTCTTGGGCTAGCAACTTCATTTATTTGATAGCAAAAACAGTGGGTCCCACAACAAAATAGCAAGTGAGCAAAATTTTACCACTCACTCTCTACTTGAGAACTTGAGAATACACTTATACTCTCATTTTATTCTTTTTTCTTTACATATTTTTCTTGCAATTTGGCTAATTAATCATTGTTTTAAATTCCATAAGAATTAAAATTTCAAATTGATTTAACGTTTATGGGCATTGATGGGTGAAATTTTCAAATAAGTATTTCAAAATTGCATGATACTAATTTACCAATTGGTGCTAGGTAAATTGTTGTGTTGTATGAGAAAATCAAATTATTTCAGAGGGCGAAGTGAGGGTTTATATCTTTCAATGGATGAGATTGAGATAAGAAAATCAAATCCAACGAATAGTTCATAAGTAATGAAATCTAACTTTGTAAGAATTTGAATTTTTTTAGGTTGAAAGTCATAAAAAAAAAAAATTAAGATAAAAATGTCCAAAAATCAATTTAAAAAAAGTTAACGAAAAAAAATTATCGCATAATCAAATTATTGCATAAATAAATATATATAGCCCTATATAAAGCTCGAAGGAAATAGCTAGCCCCTCAGTGAGAGAGATTCTTTTATAAAACCTGTCATATCCCGGCCCGGGGGGGGACCACTTCCCGGGCCCGCTCCACCACCGTAGCACGATATTGTCCGCTTTGGGCTTACCATTCCCTCACGGTTTTGTTTTTGGGAACTCACGAGCAACTTCCCAGTGGGTCACCCATCATGGGATTGCTCAAGCCTCCTTCTCGCTTAACTTCGGAGTTCCTACAGAACCCGAAGCCAGTGAGCTCCCAAAAGGCCTCGTGCTAGGTAGGGATGAGAATATACATTTAAGGATCACTCCCCTGGGCGATGTGGGATGTCACAAAACATCAAAGATTCCTTGAAGCTCTAAAATGGGCTATATCCACCACTTTTCCAATCCCATATAGAGCCTCTCACTGCCTCCAACATATTTAAATTTTAACTGGAACAATGCCTCCAACAAAATCGGAAAGGGGTCCTCTTCGGATCCCTTCCTTCTAATCCACCAAGTTCGGGGATTCGGGCCAGTGAAATTTGATTCAATGACTACAAACAGGGGTCCACTTTAAAAGTTATAATAACTTTAGCCGTTTGATCAAATTTCAATGACTCGAATTCTTGAACTTTGTGGATTAGGAGGAAGAGATCTGGAGATGATCCCTATCCAACAAAATCAACGCACAAATTATGAATCAATAACATAAAACATGCGTTGACCTGCAAAAGAAGCTTTCTAGATGCCGATTTGAATGCGAACTAATTCAATGATAACAACAATTCATCTCAATTAATACCAAAGAAGCTTATAGTCGGTCGTTATAGAGAATTTTTTTTAGTGTTCTTTAGATATAAGCTCATGCAACACTTATTTTTTTTGACAAAAATCCATTCCGTTTTGAACATAATCCAAATTTGAAATAAACTGCCATGTAAACAAATAAATACCTATTATTTTCAAAATATTTACAATTGTGCCACAACACTCTAATTATGTTGATGAATTTAATTATCCAACATAATTATGGCAAATAAGTGCTTTATTATTACAACAGTATCTATTTTATACTTGTCTTACCATCATCTGTTCCATTTCTTATATTTGTTTGACAATCATTGTAGGTAAATTATTTTGCATGTATACATTAAACACATTTTGTTATTATTATATATGTGTGAAATAAATTACTTATATTTTAAGTGGCCTAATCGGATAAACAGTCCTCGTGGTGATAAGGTAATCGGAAGATATCTCTCGTGGTAAAAAAATTAGGATTTAAACCTTCATGGTAAAGTCCGTTAGAAAATTTGGTCCAAAAGTTATTTTTCTGTTAATTGTTCGTTAAATACAAGGATAAAAATGTACTTTTCCGTGTACACCTTCTTCATCATCT